GTGGGGACAGACAGGGAGATAACAGAGACAGTACAAGCCTAGCCCTACTCCCTGGAAATAGAGGTAACTACGGTATGTAGAACATGAGCTGCTGAGCTCTGGCTGCTGGAGGAAAAAGGAGACAGGAATCAGGGGAAAATACCTTAGTGTGAAAACAGCTGCATGCACACTCCTGGTGGGGAGGCCCACGAAATGTATGGCATCATTCTGGAAACAAATAGTAGTCGTGTGGATGGAGCAGCAGGCTAAGGACAAGGGTGGGCAGTGGAGGCTAAGCCTACTAATCCCCGGTTCTGAAAGATGAGTCCCCGAGAAGGGGGGGGGCCACCGCGGCCTGCATTATCTGGAGACTCGGGCCTGCTGATCCAGGGCACGTCACTCAGAGCAGGGCCACAGGACAGGTGCAACTCCAGGCCGCTCCCTCAGCGCCTCTGCCCTCTCACCGGGGAGAGGAAAGCCCATCAGAGGGGCTCTTGGACTGTACGTGTCCCCTCTGTGACCTGACACATCGATATGGCCGCACTGCTCTTACAATCAAGTCCAGACTCCCTTGGTAAGGCACTCAAGATTCTTCCCAATCCGGCTCCTATTTTGATCCACTTCACTTCTCTTTACAGAGCAAATAAGATGATGCCTTAGAGAAAGCATTTAAAGACTGTCGAGGCGTAAGTAAATGTCAAAGTAGTGGCTATCACTGAGGCATTAGCCCAATGTCAGCTTCTTAAAAAAAAAAGAACCCCCCTTTCTTTCCTGCTCTGGAGTCCCTTGCAGAGCTCTGTGCCAACTGCCTGGGTCAGTGGTCCAGGAGATGTGCAAGATGATCCGTGGAGGGAAAGCAAGAAATCACTAGAATTTCTATATCTATATTTTTCTATCTGTTTAAATTTCTATTTTTTTAGCTATTTTATATCATATAACAGAGTTTAATGTGTACACAATTTAAACGAATAAGCCCACAAATATGGAAACGAATACTCAAATTTCATTTCTTTTTGTCAGGGGATTATGATAAAAAATACAGAGTGGGGCAAAAGTAGATTTACTGTTGTTCTGTGGACAATAATGCAGTAATTAATGAATAATAATATAAGACTAAACTGTGTTTTGTGTACTCATAGCTCTAAATCTACTTTGGCTCTTCCCTGTATTTGGAGATCACTGGTCTAATCTACTCACCCTACATTTTATTTTTTTCTGTATATTTAAAAACTACTTTATTGGTATAATTTACATACTATAAAATCCACCCATTTAAAATGCACAATTTAGCCCAGCTGGCATGGCTCAGTGGTTGAGCATCGACCTATGAAACAGAAGGTCCACGAGGTTTGATTCCTGATCAGTGCACATGCCCAGGATTGTGGGCTTGATCCCTAGTGTGGGGGGTGCAGGAGGCAGCCAATCAATGATTCTCTCTCATCATTGATGTTTCTATCTCTCCCTCTCCCTTCCTCTCTGAAATCAATAAAAATGTATTAAAATAAAAAATGTTAAAAATAAATAAAATGCACAATTTAGTGATTTTTAGTAAATGTTTTGAACTTCTACATTTTACTAGTGTTTTGCATATATTTGGTGGAGCCAAAGGCTGCTATACCCACCAGACCGAGGGTTGAAACATACAAGTAAGAGCTTTGGAAGTTAGCAACTTGATAAAACAAATAAGGGGCAAAAAACTGTATAAAGTGCAGAGGCCAGCAAGGTATCTCAATGGATCACCTTCCCTCAAGGCAGGAAAACATAAAATTTGACACTGGGAAACTTCAAACAGATAAATGTAAAAAAAGTAATTCCAGCCCTAACCGGTTTGGCTCAGTGGATAGAGTGTTGGCCTGTGGACTGAAAGGTCCCAGGTTCGATTCCGGTCAAGGGCATGTACCTTGGTTGCGGGCACATCCCCAGTAGGGGGTGTGCAGGAGGCAGCTGATCGATGTTTCTCTCTCATCAATGTTTCTAACTCTCTATCCCTCTTCCTTCCTCTCTGTAAAAAAATCAATAAAATACATTTTTTAAAAAAAGAAAGAAAGAAGCTTTCTTAGAAGTGTCCTCATTAAAAAAAAAAAAAAAAAAAAAAAAAAAAGTAACTCCTTCTAGATCAACTGCCTGACTTGTCCTTGGCCTCAAGTTCAACCCTAATCAACTCAAGGCTTGGGTTCAAATGAAAACTTCTGCAAAGTTGCTTTCTTTTCTGATGGATTAACAATTACGCCTTAGATAAACATGCTGGCAGAATGTAAACAGAAGTGTTGCAAGAGACAGCTGGTGAACGACCTCTGACCCATCGTTCTCAGTGCTGTCCCTCGTGCTGGATGGGGTTTGTGCCTGAGGACTAGGGTTGAAGTAGCCATCTTGGTCCATAAAGTCATATTAGGGAACGAAGGCCAGACACAACAGTGACAAAAAAGAATGCAACCCTCACAGCAGCCTCAGACAGTACACCTTTTCCTGTTGCAGTTACTGGGGTTTTCTGTCATTTGCCGCATTACCCTGATTTACATATGACGTAAATTTTTAAAGTCTCCATTTTATTGATTATTTAGGCAGTTTCCAATTTTTAGTAAAGTAAAAGGTTGTAATGAGCATCCTTATACAAAACTCTTTGTATGCATCTCTCACTATGTTTTTGGGATAACATGATAAAAATGTACTTTCTGAGTCAAAGGTGAAGTGAACATGTGTAGATCTCTCAAGAATCCTGTTATGGAGAATAGATGGAAAGTGTGTTAACTGCAAGAAGTGCAGCATTAAGGGAGTGTTTTTATAGGCCAGCCTTTCTCCTGGGAACCACATGTATGTAAACCAAAGCCAGTATGAAAGCAGTAGTCAAGCCTCAGAGCAGTCAAGCTTTAGATTTAAAGCCAGGAACCACCCTCCCTATTTGACCTGAAATGTGAACCCTGCAGCAGACTGGCTTCAACAATAGTCAGGTATTCAGCAGTTCGTTACCTTCCCAGGTGTGTGTAGGCCTACAGCGCTACAGGGAATGGTAATAAAGTTACCCAGCCTAGAAACTTTCTTTACTTGTTAGCAACGTTCTTCCTGGTTCTTATTGCAATGTTAATGAAAGAGTATGGCAATCTCTCAGGTGCTGATGTGCCCGGTAGGTTTGCTGAGATGTAAAGCTGAGGCAGAGTGATATAATGGGCTGAAACCCAGGTTTGGCAAGTAAAACAGAGATGACCACTCAGAGGCTCTGAGGACCAGGAAAGCCAGGGGGCTGCAGCAGCTGGGTGGTATGGCCCTTACTCGATGTGCTCCCCCTCTTTCGGGAGAGTCCAGCCTGTGGAGTGCTCTCAGCTCAGAAATAAGACTAGATCTCTGCAATATCTGGCGAGTGACCTTGTACCCAGACTTTCCAAGTTAGAGACCTGAGTTCTTTTTATTAGGTCTTCACTCTATATCTCAAATCAATCAGGTGATGCGTCCTGATAAGAAGGCAGTAATAGAGAACTGGGAATAAAGGCAGAACTTCCAAGGTCCTTCACAAAGGAAGTGTGACGACTGTTTAAACATTAAAAAGGTGGCCCTGGCCAGGTAGCTCAGTTGGTTGGAGCATTGTCTCGATGTGCCGAGATTGTGGGTTCGATCCCTGGTCAGAGCATATACAAGAATCAACCAATGAATGCACAAATAAGTGTCATAACAAATCGATGTCTCTCTCTCTCTCTCTCTCAAATCAGTAAATTAAAAAAAATTAAAAACCATAAAAAAGTCTATTAAAGAAATAAGCCAGTCAGAGAAAGACAAGTGTCACATGATCTCACTCATATGTGGAATATAATGAACAACATAAACTAATGAACAAAAATAGATCCAGAGACATACATAGAAGCATCAAACAGACTGTCAAACCTCTCAAACCTCAGAGGAAAGGGGGGGGGGCGTGTAACAGATCAACCATAAGACTTGTATGCATGCATATAAGCATAACCAATGGACACAGACAGTAGTGGGGTGAGAGCCTGTGCTGGGGGTGGGAGCAGCCAGGGAGAGGTCAATGGGAGAAAAAGGAGACTCATGTAATACCTTAAACAATAAAGAATTTAAATTAAAAATAATAATAAAGAACAAAATAAATTGCATGTAACGGATTAAGGAATCTCAGACGGAAGCCAGGGGTTGAGGTGTGGGTAGGGAGAAATTAACCAAAGGATTTATATGCATAATGCATGAACACAGACAATAGGGTGATGAAGGTCTGAGGGGATTGTGGGGTAGAGGGGGTCAATGGGGGGAAAGGGGACATCTGGAATACTTTCAACAATAACGATAAATATCTAAAAGCCTGTCAAAGATTGTTTAAAGAGCCCGGCCGGCATGGCTCAGTGGTTGAGTGTCAACCTATGAACCAGGAGGTTACGGTTCGATTCCCAGTCAGGGCACATGCCCGGGTTTCGGGCTTGATCCCCAGTGTGGGGTGTGCAGGAGGCAACTGATCAATGAGTCTCTCTCATCATTGATGTCTCTATCTCTCTCTCCTCCCTTCCCCTTGTAATCAATAAAAAAAATTTTAAAAAAAGATTATTTAAAGAAACAAGTATTTTATAAAACAAGAAATGTAAGCTGCCAACATATATTCTTCCAATTTTCAGAAAGAATCACAGAAATGCTAAATTAAAGCAGGACATCTGTGTGGAGAAGGGCACAGGGAAAGGTGCTGCTGGTGGGAGTTTAAATTGCTACAGTGAGAGAGCAGTTTGGTTATATGTGATTATTTGTGCCTTTGAACTTATCTTTCTAGAAATTTACTCTAAGGAAATAAGTAGAGAAGCCTAAAAGTCAAAGTCAGCTCAGGCAGAGATGCCAATGTCATGGCCATTAAAGGGAGGAGGTCCGAAGTTCTGCTGTTCTGCCACCAGGGAGCGATTTCTCTAACCTCTTGTGTTGTGGCTTATGAGAAATGCTCAAGATCACAGAGTTTGGGGGCATTTTCAAAGCAAAAATAAAGGAAATATAGATACACCTAAGGTAAGGAATTTAATGCAACACAAAATAAGAAAATCCACAAGTTACTCAAGTTTAATTTTGGTTTTGACTTCCCAGTCTAAAAGAATGAGACATGTGAAAGTAGAAATGTATTTAGAGGAATTGAATTTTGAAAGCAAAGTAAGTTTGCGAGAGAACTAGAGAAAGGGCTCTGGATGTGTCAGATTCTGCAGATATCCTCATCTGGGTTTCCCAGAAAGCAGAGCCTAAGGTTCATGTGTATTTTATTGGGGTGTGTGACCCCTGGAAGCAGGAGTGACAGAGGGAGGGACGCTTTATCAACTTGACCCCTGCATGGGCATTGGCTGCGTGATCTCATGGGACTGTCTGAAGTTGTATGAAAGCATCTCAGAACTGCTCAGCTGTCCAGAGGAGAAAGCTATTTATCTTCACAGGGTGTTAACTCTTCAACACTTGAGGGCTGAGCAGACTTGGGCACCTGAGTCTCTGAGCAATGACAGAGAAAACCTAGAGCAGAAAGGAGGGGGTGCAGAACAGGGCCTTCGGTGAGCAGCTGTCAGGCGGCACCAGCCAGACCCCAGCACACAGCCCAGGCTGGGAGGAGGGATCTGAAGTGCCCCCCCCCCCCAGCAGGGTTCTGAGAGGATGAAGCACTGCCCTGGAGCCCCTTGGGACTAGGCACACAAGCCTGGGGTTAAGGTTTAGGGATACAAACATGAACACAAACCCTGTTCCCTTCCCTCAGGAAGCTGCAGGCCCAGTAGAGCGAGCTTTGCATGGCGGCTTGGCTGCAGGATGCGAAGGATTTGCAGAGGGAAGGAGAGGGCTGGGTAGGAGGGAGAGAGCCAGGCTGGGGTAGCAGCATCTCTTGCTCACGGTGCTGCCCTCAGTCAGTGGGTGCCACAGGAAGCACCTCAGGGAGACTGCGGCACTGTGTCCGGCTGGAAGGCCTCTGAGGAGGTGGGTGTTTGCGAGCTATCAAACACAACAGGGGAAGCCGACTTCTGCCAATCTTTTGGTCCAATAACTACAATCCTCACAGGCCCTACCCTGGGGTGTGTTTAGCAAACATAGTGTTAACACTGCTGGGAAGTGCCCCAAACTTAGCCCTGCCCTAGACCTTTATGTTCAGTAAACAAGTCAGACCGCTGGCCTGCGTGGGCTCATAAACACAACGTTTGCTTTCCTGCTGGCTGAGTCCTCACACGCTGACCTCTACACGCTAATGGCTCACCCTGGCTGCGCTCTGGAACCCTGTCAGCAGCCATGGAAACGCGGGGTAAAACCTGTGGGTTGTCAGTTCCTTCAGTCACAAGTCACAAGGCCCTGCAAGGAAAGCCCCTTCCCCACTCTCCCTGGGGAAAGCCCCGCGGGCCAGGCCTCCCCTCCCAGCCGCAGCCCTGCGGGGAGGGGCTGGCTGCACGGGCACTGCCGCTGCAGCTCCACCGGGGTTGGGTAACAGCTTATCTCTCTGAAAACCGAGTCCCACTTTTGCACACTGCACTCTGAACTTTCGTACAGACGGGCGGCTTGCACACCCTTATTTGGTCTTGTGGCTGGTGCGGCCCAGCTGGAAGGCTCAGCCGGCCCCTCCCCCACCCACCCCAGGCACATTTCCAAACTTGATTACTTCCTTTGTCGTCCAAGGCTGGCAAAGGTCACTTGAGTTCATTGAACACAGGCCAGATGAGAGCACGAAAGGTTACCTGGGGCCTGTGCAGTCCCACAGGGCCTCAGACTGCTAACGCTGCTGCCCACAGGGCCACCGGGCCTCCCGCTCTGAGGAGCGGGGCTGCTGAAGCCAGTAGAAACCCTGAGAAGATCTAAAGGGAGGTTGAAGACGTGCTTTAAAAAGCAGAGCCAGGCAGCTTCTGGGGGTGTCTCAGGATCACCAGTGACTAGCCTAAGATAAACAGTAGGGAAAAGAAACAGGGGAGAAATAAGCAAAGGAGAAAGAAAAGACAGAAAAGTTAGAGGACTGAAAAAAGAGGAGCACACATAAAAAGCAATGCAGTTAGCAGCCCAAAGACCAAATGTCCTAAGACAGTGGTCCTCAACCTTCCTAATGCCGCGACCCTTTAATACAGTTCCTCATGTTGTGGTGACCCCCAACCATAAAATTATTTTCGTTGCTACTTCATAACTGTAATTTTGCTACTGTTATGAATTGTAATGTAAATATCTGATATGCAGGATGTATTTTCATTGTTACAAATTGAACATAATTAAAGCATAGTGATTAATCACAAAAACAATATGTAATTATATATGTGTTTTCCGATGGTCTTAGGCGACCCCTGTGAAAGGGTCGTTCGACCCCCAAAGGGGTCACGACCCACAGGTTGAGAACCGCTGTCCTAAGAGACCCTTGTCCACATAAGGCTTAAAGCTTCCAACCCTAACCATAAAATGGGTTTTTCCTTTCTCCTAGTGAAAGGAATTTTAGAGACAGGGCAGGCAGTTAGGGAATATGGGGAGTGGAGGGGGTCCATGGGAGAGGAATGCATAGGTGAGGGCTTGGGGCAGCCAGAATGCTTATCTCACTTTTACAGAGGAGAGAAATGTCAGAAGGTAAGGGGAAGGGGAAGGTATACATTCACAGAGGATAGAGGTGTTGCAAGATAAGGGGGGCACCAGGTGGGCTTTGAACTTTGAAACTGATACTATGTAAGAGAGTGACCAATTAGGAAAACACAGGACATACATGAAGGAAGAGTCCAATTAGAAAGGGTCATGTTCAGACAAAGAACTCCTAGCATTTATAAACCCAGAGACAAAGAAACTCAGAAGATTGATTTTTTTTCCCATTAGAGAGAGCAAGCAGGCTTTTCCCATTTTGGGACCCCTACCCAGGGTGTTCCCTTTGGGGATCCCTGCCCAGGGGGAGTTTGTATATGCTTCCAATAAACTTCCACATTTTTATTTAAAATCCTGAGCCACGAATTTTATTCCTCAAACTTTGTAGGATAAGAACCCACAGGAAGAGTCCGCACCCCGAGCTCCATGTATCAATAGGACATGAAAGGGATTTGCAAACCATGGCTGTTAGGTGTTATGTGAAGTCAGTTACACTGCCTGCGCTCACTTTCCCAGAAAGATCCTTTTCATATTACTGCAACAAATAAAGTCTGCAGTTTGCAAAGTTTGTGTGAAAAATCTTTTTGTAAAAATTGCCAATTTGGCCTTAGCCTGGTGGCTCAGTTGGTTGGAGAATTGTCTCATACACCAAAAGGTTGTGAGTTTGACCCCTGGGTTGGGGGCGCCTGTGGGAAGCAAACAATTGATGTTTCTCTTACATAGATGTTTCTCTCTCCCTTCCTCCCTCTCTCTAAAAAAAATAAAAAATCAATGAAAACATATCCTTAGGCGAGGATAAAAAAGTTGCCAATTTGCTGTCCTATGTGGCTACTGAAAAAGAGGAAAGAACCTGTTAGACTCACATCAAAGAGGCCATTGGGCTCTGCTTGCCCCCAGGAGCCTCAAAAGAGGTGGTAAAGTCCTCCCTCTGCCCCCACTCTTTTTTTTTCTTTTGTTAATCCTCACATGAAGATATTTTCCCCATAGATTTTTTTAGAAAGAATAGAAGGGAGGCAAGAGAAAGAGAGAGAAACATTGATGTGAGGGACACATCGACTGGTTGCCTCCCACTTGTGCCCCAATCAGGGCCAGGGATTGAACCTGCAACCCAGGTACGTGCCCTCGAATGCACGACCCTTTGGTGCGCAGGCTGACACTCTGACCATGGAGTAGCACAGGCTGAAGCTCTTGCCCCACTCTTGACAGAAAGTGGTGGTAGGAATGGGTTTGCAAGTATTCTTGGATACAATGAAGACAGAGAAGGAATCTCCTAAGCAGAAGGCTTGTAATATTATTTTGAATAGAGAAGAAAGGGGCAGTAGCATAACCCTTGGTCTCTAAATCTTATGTTGCCTGAAATTTCTGCTTCATTGTTTTTTTTCTCTTCATTCTTGTCACTTTTATTCAGTGGTAATTCCGCCCCCCCCCCCTTATTTTCAGTGCCAGACATGGCAAGGAGTGATTATAGCCAACTGTTATTAAAACATTTGTTCATGCCCTGGCTGGTGTGGCTCAGTTGATTGAGTATCATCTCTTGTACCAAAAGGTCGCTGGTTCGATTCCCAGTCAGGGCACATGCTCAGCTTATGGCTTTGGTACCGGGTTATGGGAGGTAACCAATAGATGTTTCTACCTCACATAGATGTTTCTCTCTCTCTCTCTCTCTCTCTCTCTCTCTCTCTCTTTCTCTCTCTTCCTCTCCCTTCTCTCTCTCAAATCAATAAAAACATATTTAAAACACACACACACAGCACAAAAATAAAACAAAAATCCCTTAGTTCACAATATATAACCCCCCTTTACCACTAACCCCAAACTGACTCATTATGTGAGCTTTCATTCTTTCTTTTCTTAATATACCACCACCAAGACTGGGTGTAGGGGGCAAGGGGAAGAGACATGAAGGGGAAGAGTCCAGGAGGCCAGAAGAGGAGGAATGCTATAAGCCACAGTAAGAATGAGTTGTATTTAATTTAAAAGGGGGGAGGGGTATACTCCACACATGATACAGTAGTGAGGATACACAATTAAATCCTATAAGTATGACTGAGGCTTTCACTGTGTTTGATGTCATCACAACAGAAGACACAAAAAGTGGAGTAAATCAATTTTGACACAGTCCAATCTGGTCCAGTAGGCAAGATGGTGCAAGAAGTCACTTAAATTAAAAGTGCCCTACCCTGACCTACATGGCTAGCAGGCATGGAGAACACCACAGTGATGAACCCACAGAGCTTCCTCCATGTCGCTGTAAGAAAATGTGTTGTCCAATGGCTCATTGTCAAATACTGGAAGGAGGTGCCATGATGTACCTCTCTCTTTTTAGGTATGAATGCTCGAGTCAACCATCTCAACTAAGCAGGAATGCCAACCCTACTTCACTTTGTCTTGAAATATATACAGATTGTTTGTAGTCGCTACAGCAATGATCTTCTTTGTGGAGTGCCAGCTGTATGAGGCATGTTCTTGTTGAAGTCTAAGCTGCCTTCTCTCACCACTTGCACAGACTCTGTGTGGCTTCAGAACCATGCAAGGTTCACTGTTTTCTCCTGATGCTTCTAGGGTTATGTCTCACTTTGTGTTCCAGTCAAAAATTCTGAAAATATTGTAAGATCCAGTCATGACAATACTATCAGAGCCATTCCAACAACATTCAAACTTGTCAAATATTCTGTCATTTTCATACAGTGAACAAGCTTACTTCTGAGGTTTTTAATGTACCTGATATGTTTCCACATGCCTGTTCTCCATATTTAAGTCCCAAATTTTAGTCTCTAGTCATCATATATCTACCACTATGGCTGAATTTTACATCAGAAATAGAGATGATAAAAAAAAATAAAAAAAAAGATGTGTTACTGGGATCTTCAGGTTCCTCCAACAGTTTAGAATGCCACCACAGAGGCACGTGCCCTCATGTCACAGAAGCCAACAGTTCCTTCGCTGTGCCGTATACAAATGTGCTGCAGCTGCTGGCATGGAATTCTGTGCTGTAATCACCTCTGTTACCTCTTCCATGGTGCAGGCTTGATATCCACAATATTAAAACTCCTATCTGTAATTTCCAGATGCCAAAGATTAATCCATAAATCATCTGCAGATAAATGTTCCATAATCACTATTAACAGAAATTGAGTTGATGTGTGTGCTATGTATGAGCATTGGCAAATATTCTTCAGGGCCTGGCCTCAGCCAAAGATCCATGGGCCTAACGACTGGCATGCAATCTTCCTCTTTTAAGTTACACCCTTCTGGTCTCTTGTCCCTTTCACTGATTTTCTGTAATTTTATTGTTTAACCACTGGTAGACAAGAGAAACTGAGCAGGATTTTTCTGGAGTAACCACCTAATTTTGTTGATCTTCTATTTCTAAACTTTTCAAGTAGTCAAACTCTGGTTCGTGGCTCTGAAAGGTGCTGTAAGCATTATATTCCTCTGCTATGAGACTGGATTTTGTTCCTCTGCTCCTGTTGAAAGATGATGACTCTACTGTCTTTATCTCCTGTTGCTACTAATTCTTCAGAGTGCGTAAATTCTACTGCAGAAATCATATCTGCTTCTGCTACCTCATCTACTGCTCCTTTCACCTGAGAAGAACACTGGATATCCTTCCCTCCACTCCTGCCATGTTGTGCTCCATATGGTGACCTGCCGGGTTCCTCGGGGTCTCCACTTCCTGGAGTCACCCCCTCACCTGGGGATGGTGGGCAGAGAGGGTGATGGCGGGGGAGAAGGGAGGCTGGGTGGGCAGAGGAGCACTCTGGGGCTCTCCGGCTCTTGCTCTTTCTCCAGCAAAGGACAGGGTCAGGCAACTCCTAATTTTTTTTTTAAGAACCAAAATAAATTAGGGTTACTTCAGAGAGGAGGTTCATCCTGATTTTGGCAAGCATCTGAGACATTGCCATATACCAAGAAACAAGACAAGGCACAAAGCCACAAACTTGGAGCCTTGAACCTCCCCAGGCCAGCCAGGCCTTGCTGATTATAAGCACCCACTGCAGTCTGGGAGAGGCGCTGGGAACTGTGGGAAAGCTTAGGGAAATACTACCCTTTAGGTTCCCCTGAACTGCAAGGCACTGTGCGCGGTGACATAAGGAATGCAAGTGGCCAGAAGGATCAGACAAGTGTTCAAATAACAAAATCTAAGACAAAAAGTGCTATAAGTGAAGCCAGGCAAAGGAAAGTCAGGCAAGTTGCTACGAGGGCTCAGAGGAGGGAAATACAAGGTTTTGCGTATGGATCAAAGCCGGCTCGTGAAGGCAGAGGCATCTGAGCCGGGTTAGGATGCCTGGGCTCCCGACTGGAGTCCCAAGTTCCAGACTGAGG